TTCACATGGAGGTTTCCGCTCCTGGGTTTCTGGTTCTCTAAATTGTAATTATTGCATCAGCTGTCTGTTTCTCCAATATTTGGGGAGGCAGTTTACCCTGTGACCTCACTTCTCTGACAGATATAAGAAGAGTTGCTGATTCTTCAGTTTGTTCAGCATTTTACTTGTTGTTATGATGGAATGGCGACTTCTAAGCTCCTTACCTCCCAGACTGGAAACTGGAAGTCCTACACACAACTGTATTTTCATTCTAATATTCTTTGACTTATATAGTATTTAATTAAGTGATCTAATTAAATAAGAAGTATAACTTAGTGTTAAGGAATTGACTTAGTAAATATGCAACTCCAATTGTGAATGCAAAAACACATGAGTATATCAGAAACTGGAGTTGGGAGTCTTTGGTATACTGTGAGCATTAGTCAATATGTTTTACAGAAGGAGTAGAATATTGATTATCCCAGCAAGTTAAATGAAGATTAATTAGTCAATTCTTAGACATATGTTCATGTTTGTGCATATGCATATACATTTGAATATATGCTTATATAGAACACCTTTTTCTTTCGAAAGATTTTTATTATAATCATGTTTTATTATAAGCATATGTTCTTGCTTATAAATATTATCTCAAAACAAATATCATATCTGCTTAATACTTCATTTTACCATCTATTATCAGCTGTTTTTCTAATTTAGACTCGCTTTCTTTATGTGAATAGATTTTGTACAAGACAACTTGACCTTTCAGTTGGCATTGTATATTTTGGATCACCACCTTCTTAAAACAGTCTATTCCCCAGGTTTTCTAGCTTTCTGGCTTCTTTATGTATGTTCTTGGATCTCTGAATGTAAACTCAAGCTTCATCTGTTTAAAACCAAACATATTTTACTCACACCATCTCTACTACTATTCCCTATCTCAGTGAATGGCAACACAGTATATCCTGCTGCACACACCAGAAACCCAGGGATCAGCCCTGGTCTGTCAATCTTCCTTAACTTTAATTCTCAAATAGTGTTATATTGGCTTTCTAAATATTTCTCAAGTCTTTTCACCTATCTCTACATTCTTTCCCACCACCAAGTCCAATAAACCATTATTTCAAGCACTATGTAATTGTCTCCTAAAGATTCACACACATACTTTCTTGAACCTTTCCAAACCATTTACCATGCTGCTATTAATATGATCTTTGAAAAAGGTATTTAGTCATTAATTATTGATTTTAGGATCAAGACAAAGCTCCTTAACATGTCCTTAAGCCCCAGCATAATTTAGTTTCCTCCGGATCTCTTTCGTATGAAACCGGTGATTTCTCTTGCTTTCTCAGCTATATACCGGTTTTCCCTTGCTCTCTTTCATCCAGCAGCCTATCTGCCATTATTCCCTCCCACTTAACTGAAGCCATACATGCTGTTTTCTACATCTTTACTCTTCCTCTATTTTCTTTTTCTCTAGTTTACTCATGCTTCAGCTCTCAGTTGAAGTGTTCCTTTCTTAGGGAAGGCTTTACTGAGGTTCCTAAGTAAAATCCTTCTTTATAGGCTTTATGGTAGCATATACTTTTTATTCATAACAATTATTAATTTGAGATTTGATTGTGATTATTGGATTGATGTCTGTCTTTACCACCAGACAGTAAATTTCTTGAAGGAAGGAACCCTCTGTGATTTTGATCACAATTCTCTCTTCACTACTATATGGCACATGGTAGATGTTCGACAAGTATTTGATTGAAGAATAAATGAATGACTTTTAATTTAAGCAAGGAATTAACTACCAATTCTTACAATAATCTGGTAAGCTACCTAATGGTAAAATTTGTAACATTTGAAATAGGATTCCAAGAACAATACAGACTTTTTCAATTTTCATACAGGCTACAGATTTCATTAAAAATAAGTTTCACTGGGGCTTCCCTGGTGGCGCAGTGGTTGAGAGTCCGCCTGCCAGTGCAGGGGACACGGGTTCGTGCCCCGGTCCGGGAAGATCCCACATGCCGTGGAGCGGCTGGGCCCGTGAGCCATGGCCGCTGAGCCTGCACGTCCGGAGCCTGTGCTCCGCAACGGGAGAGGTCACAACAGTGAGAGGCCCACGTACCGCAATAAATAAATAAATAAATAAATAAAAATTTAAAAAAAAATAAAAAATAAAAAAATAAGTTTCACTTTTCAAAAGGTCCTCCAAATGAGTCTTTATATGCCATAAGACTTTGGGCCGTGAGTGTGCTGTGATAGTGATAATCAGAAATGAAAAAGATTTCTGTAGGGACCAAGTTCATTTTCAAAGAATAGTAAGACACGAGACTGAATCTTTCTTCTTCATATCAAAACCCCAATCCTCAGGCCCAGACCTACAAAATAGAAGGAGAATAGAAAGGAGACAGCTATCAGTTATGTAGCTGCCAATGAGAATCATTTATGGGCAGTAAATAGACATTAGTTCACTTAGAACACATGTAACCATGAGTTCCCCATTAGAACAGGCATATGGAAGACATGTTGGAGAAAACCACACAAAATTGAATCTTAAAAAAATCAAATATAAATATATAAAAGAAAAAAGTGAAATAGAAAATCAACTGTGTATGTAATTAGTGTTTCTGGGGAAGGGGCTACTGTGCATGCCTTAGAAAAAAATTCAAAGATAGAAGAAAACTATGCTAAAATGAAAGAAAATGCAATTCTACAAATTGAAAGAACATTAGATATTTTAGGAACAACTTATGTAACATAATGTTTTACACTGGAAAATACTGAGTTCACAGTCAATGTGATCTTGGCTTGTCTCTTGTTTCTTTCATATTCATAATAAATATGAAGAAATATTCAAATATGTCAAGATGCCTGTAAGAAACTATTACTGATAAAGTAATTCTACTATTTGTTAAATCAAAAGATAGATATATAAGGTTCTTTCCAACTCCACGATTCTACATATCTTAGTCTGAGCCACCCTTCTCACAGGGCTTAAATGGAAACAATTTCAGAAAGCAACTGTAGTTGGCACTCATGTATGCTTATGTTAAATCTATTCATAAAATGCACTAAAGTCAACTAGTCAACTATAATTGTGACTTTTATAGGAGTCAACCTTTTAAGTCAAACTTTTAAGTGAGACTTTTATCTACTGCTGTACACATCTGGCAAACAAATTACGTGGTATAAAAACACCCTTTCTGTATCTGCCAAAAATGAGTTTTGTTAAATACCTGGAGCAATGAAATGGCTTAACCAATATGGCTTTTCAAATATTCGTGTGCCATGCAATTGGTTAAAATGCTCCAAGAAATAGGTACTCGTTCATATAATATTTTTGGTAAATTGGAAAACATCATACAGATTAGCTGCACATTTGCTTATCTTCTTTATTTGATGGATGGCATGGCAAAAATGAAAAGCAGGTTTTATCAGAGAGAAATGTATATATGATTTATTATCCTTCTTAGGGTTAAATGCAAGTCAATAGGAAAATGATTTAACAGGCAAACATTAATTTTCCACTATCTTTTCAGGAATATGTATAATGGCAACATAAGGATAGTTATAGAAAAATATATCTATTTGCACTTGAGATATTTGCAGTATGACTGGGATGTTTGGCACTAACAAATCTTCTGTTTACATAAGCATACTTTTACAAATATAAGAAGTGATGTACAAGTGTCCAAGGATGCAGCATCTGCCCTTTACATCAAATGGCATAAGAAAATGGGACTGTGTTTTCTTGTCTTTGTTCCCCTATCAAGCTTGGCAGAGGACTTTGCCCATTGGCCTGTAGTAAGTGTTGAATGGTTAAATAAATGATTACGTGTTCAGGCTGTAATTCCTATAGATAAAACAGATACATTTAAAGTCAGGATGAATCCAGAGACCATTTACGTTTTTCAGTGGTGAGAAGAGTAATGCATATTTTTCTGAGAGGCAGATGAAGATTAGAAGCCCATGATTACATCCTGCCATTACTCCACTTTTTATCTGTTCCTTAGATGACAACACATAGGCTAAAATTGCTTGAAGTCCTTCTAGAAGCTCTGATAGCATGGAATGGCTAGTTTGCTGGACAGAGCTAGTCCAAGCCTGTGCATAAAGAATCTGAATCCTTAGGAAATTCTTCCTAATATGTCAAGTACATTCTTTTTTTTTTTTTTTTTTGTGGTACGTGGGCCTCTCACTGTTGTGGCCTCTCCCGTTGCGGAGCACAGGCTCCGGACGTGCAGGCTCAGCAGCCATGGCTCATGGGCCCAGCCGCTCCACGGCATGTGGGATCTTCCCGGACTGGGGCACGAACCCGTGTCCCCTGCATCGGCAGGCAGACTCTCAACCACTGCGCCACCAGGGAAGCCCTCAAGTACATTCTTGATTCAGCTAATCCCCACCTTCTAATACTACATTCCTTAGAAAAGAAAAATGAGAACGTGCCAGTCTGCCTTCCCCGCCTCTTACATGACAATGACAATGCACATATTCAATCTCACTTTTTTCTCAGCTAAATTCTACCTCAAACATCCCCAACTGGATTATTTAAAATGCTGCAGAATGAATTTCAACTTTACTCACTGTCAAGAGGCTTTGCCTTCATTCTAAAGTAAATTCCCTTTGTTGCTGTTTGATAGTGGCAGGAAATTGGACCAAATAACCTCTTAAATGCATCTCAACTTCATGATTTCAAAATTTATAGTACGTTGTCTATATAGTATAACTTCTAAAATAGGTACTTTTATTTCCCCAAAAAAGCCAGTTTCTCTCAATGATTTCTGAGATTAACCTATGGAGTCTGGGGGAAGCTCTAAATACGTGAGGGTTTGTGTATATACTTGTTTATTCTTCAACTATAGATAACTATTCTTCCTGCCTAGTCAGCTAAATCAGACTAAAGTTATTTTCCTTAAAATGCACATATAAATACCAAGTATTATAACATTGTTATTTTTATAATTACTACATGATAGAAAGGTCCCCAGTTTAACCATATTATTTTATATTATTTATTACAGGACAGCATGATAGACTTTGATAGCAATTGCCTGAATAACGAACCTAACTTTTTTAAAAAACATTCATGTGATGATAATAAGGTAATGACAATTATTTGGAGTTTATATGTCATTCAAGCTTGATTTCATAGAAGCTTATATTTTTTATATCTCTGTTAATTATATTGATTATATTAATAACACAGTCTTTTGGCTCTAACCCGACAATTCCCATTGATATGTTAAGTTATACTATGGTCTTTTATACTTTTATTTTACAAATAGCCCTATGCTTATTTGATAAATAGTCCTTTTAATTTTAGCATTTCATTTTCACCTTGAAAATACTAGAAGAACTGCTGAATTCAAAGACACATATCTCTTATTTCTAAAATTTTTATGCAGGAAAATGCTTGTCACACACACGCACACACACACACACACACACACACACAAGTAATGGGTGTAATTTAGTTGTAGGCATTTTGAAATTTTTTCTTTCAATATTTGCTTATCTTCAAACCACTACCACTTCTATTTGGTATAATATTACAATCTACAGAACTTCCAACAAAAATTTGTGTCATCTCTTTCTGCAGAAACTAGTGTGCTATTCAATAGACTTTTTTAAAACTCACAATAGCTGAGTTAACTTCATGGCATTTAAGAGTATATCCATAAATTCTGTTTTTTTTTAAATTTCTTACATTAAATATTTGAAAAACTTGTTTTAGGTGAATAGGCCCTTTATTTTCTTATTGCCAGCTATTCGTCCATAGCTCAAAAAGGGCAAAAATAATAACAACAAGAAAAGTCACACATACCTTTCACTATTATTGCTTCCAGAAGACCTCTCCTTTAGTTATCTTGTTTAAAATTGAATAAACTTGTTATATGTTCACTCATAAGCGATAAGATCACACATAGCAAAGAAAAGAGACTTTAAAAAGTCAGATAATCATTAAACTGGGTTCTAGACACTTTAGGCTGTCACCTGGGAGCTAAACAGTTTCAGTCTAGTTGCTCTTCAGTCATGCGATTAACTGGAATAGAAGAAAACTGGGGTGGAGGTGGGGTGTTACTTAGCAATACAGTTCTGGCCTTAGGCTCCTTAGGAAAGCTTATCACTTCTTAATATTTTATTTGAAACAGCCCTTCTGATGTTTTTTCTGTAATAGGAAGCTTCGTTTTTATATCGTGCTGCTCGAAAGTTGAAGCAATTCCTTAAAATGAATATCAGTGACGATTTCAATCTTCACCTATCAACAGTTTCACAGGGCACATTAACACTGTTGAACTGCACCAACAAGGTAAGCTGAGGACTGTTTGTACAAAAATGTAAACAACTCCAGTGATAAGATACTATCATTCTCTGATGACCAAATCCGTTAGCATAGAAATCTAAGTGCTTATAAGAAAATTGAAATACATTTACTCAATTCTAGAAGAGGAAAGCCTCAACTTGTAAAGTACCTATTCATCTCTTGGCTAGGGCAAAGAAATTGTTTTTAAAAAGGTACTAAAAATAGATGAAAGCAACATTGTAAGTCAACTATACTTCAGTTAAAAAAGGAAAATAGGGCTTCTCTGGTGGCGCAGCGGTTGAGAGTCTGTCTGCCGATGCAGGGGACGCGGGTTCGTGCCCCGGTCCGGGAAGATCCCACGTGCTGCGGAGCGGTTAGGCCCATGAGCCATGGCCGCTGAGCCTGTGCGTCCAGAGCCTGTGCTCCGCAACGGTAGAGGCCACAGCAGTGAGAGGCCTGCATACCGCAAAAAAAAAAAAAAAAGAAAAGAAAAGAAAAGAAAAAAGGAAAGTAAATAAAGAAAATAATAAATTTTATTGTCATAATAACTGTCAAGGAGGCTAGTGTGATAAGTTGGGTGAGGAATGGTAAATTTTTATTTCTAAAATGTCTTAATAATTTTAATCCATATATGTACACACTTATAAGAACTCATAGCAAATAAAACGGGTAATCAAATGTATTTAACAAATATATTTGTATATAAAAATTGGGCATATTTATGTCCAACAATTTTCAAGTTTTTTGCCTCAATAATTTTGATAAGTATAGCGCTAATTTCTTCCTACTTCTCTGCTAGTGGTCATGAAATATAAACAATAAAACAAAATTTGGAAGACATTATCTTGAGACTAGACAACAGTTTCTTCATCTGCAAAGTGGAGAAAAATATAGTACCTACATTATAGGATGTGAAAATGACATAATATAGAGTGCTTAGTACTAAAAAGTTTCAATAAATGTTTTATAATTACTATTATTATTTTTACTCCCTCTTCAGGAATGTTACCAGCTGCCACATAAAGCCAAAAATATTTCTTATAATTTTTAAAAGAAAATTTTAACATTTTTATGATAGAAAAAGGATTGTGTGTGTTTTTAATTTTTAATACTAGTAGTTGCCCATAGAAGGTAAAATGGTAAGATTGTCCTTGAGCCCTACTGGCAGTGATGAAAATATATATTGGACCATATAAGTTGGACCACTTCATTTATCATTACATTATCTAGTTGATGCAAGCCAGTCTCCTCTTGGTCTTGTGGATTTGCCAAGCTTATTTCCAATCTTGTCCCCTTATAATGTTAGTCCCTTATATGGAATTTCTACTGTTCTCTTTTCTGTAAATCTGATCTCTCTTGTTCTATGCATTCTTTAAGGCCAAGCTTAAGAATCATGAAGACTTTACATTCTAGCCTACCATCTCTTAATCCTTATTTATAGTGATTTAAAGTACAGTCAGCCTTTCATATCCATGGTTCTGCATCCTCAGATTCAACCGTGGATCAAAAATATTCAGAAAAAAATCTCTAGAAAGTTCCAAAAAGCAAAACTCGAATTTGTCAAGACACATCAACAACTATTTACACAGCATTTATTTTGTGTTTACAACTATTTACATAGCATTTACATTGTATTGAGTATTGTAAGTAATCTAGAGATGATTTAAAGTATACAGGAGCATGTGCCTGGTTATATGCAAATTCAGCGCTATTTTATATAAGGGACCTGAGCATCCATCCTTGGATTTTGGTACCCACTGGGGTCCTGTAACCAATCCCCCACAAATACAGAGAGACTACTGTACTATCTAATGCAGGAATAGCAAGTTCGTTTCATGTTGCTTACACATCCAGTTACTTAGTAATGGCTTATGTTGTGCATAAGCTTCAAGTCAGGGCTTAACTGAAAAGAATGCAGAGCAAACTAGCGATATCAAAGGGTTAAAGGTTATAGGTATGCTGTATATTTGCAATTCTTTCTCTCATGTGTTGAGTTTTGCATTGATTACCATATTCCAAAATCAACTAATTGTAGAAAAAGAAAATACACAAATAATTTAAATCTTGAAATTAAATAAAATTATGTTACAAAATTAACCTGCTACAATCCAAATTTTTCTTGAAATGAGAAGGCAAGATGTTAAAGATGGTCAGCTATATTGAATTTTCTTCGTGAGTTAGGCATGCTACAAGCTTTTTATAGTTATTTCATTTTGCTTCTGATGGGTAAAGCTTAATAAAATTTATGATAAGGATTTAACAACTTAATGCTAATGTTATTTTCATGTTGATTAAAATTCTAATTTTTTGTCTCTGTTAGTATACCCTTCTATATTAGCTTTTCATACCTCACAGCAATTAACACAGTGCTGGGCATATTTGCAAAATTATGCATCCAGGTTATTCGGAAGACTAATCTCTCTTGTTTCTCCCTTCTCCCTGTTATTCAATTTCTAAATGAAATTAGTATTCTGCCACACTAACAATAAATAATTTAAAGTAGATATTCAAATAGATTAGATGGGCTGAGAGTAATATGAAAATTAGCAATTATATTAATGGAAGGAGTGATAAAGGATTAATAATCAATATTATAAATATGACTTGGTTTTTAAGGGTAAAGGAAGAAAATCAACTTCCCTGGGTGAAGCCCAACCCACTAAGAATTTGGTAAGAGTGATTGTATAGTTTTCTTATCAGCTTTTTACTCAACTTAATTCCTTAATATTTCTCTTTGAATTGTTTCCTTTTATATGCTCGATTTTGAAAATATTCATTATAATGTTGGTAAAAGGAGAAGGGAGGTACCCCTTAGAAATTGGATCCCTTTAAACTGAATTTTTAAAAACCATTATTTTAAAATTAAAGAAGCTAGGGAAAATGTCAGAGCATTGATTTTTTAAAAAGAAACAAAATTAAAACCTCAGTAGGTAATAGCAAAGGACATGAACAATATAGGAGAAAATAAACTAAACAACAAGACACAATGAAAAAACGTTACTCTAGTACAGAAATACATACTAAAAATGAGAACCCATTTTATACCTATTTTATTAGTATAGACTGTACAGTATATACTGTATATGTATAATAGTATTTGAATATTCTATATTTATATATACTTGCACACATTCTATTAGATTATTACACAAAATTATATACCAATGTAGAAAATATGAATGAAAAAGTCAGAATATTTAATTAAATCTGATTATACATTACAATGATATAAATATTAACTAGGATGAGACAGAAAAATGAACACACCTGGTTCATGAGAGTGATAGATTCCTTTTTCACACTTCCGTTACTACGTTATTTGACCACTATATATATATACGGAAATTCCTTATTCCTCTTAGAGAAGCAGTGTGAGTCTGCACACCCTGGGACTCAGGAAACTCTAGGAATTCCACCTGAAGTGGAATAGTTGAAATGAATAACTGAGCAATATAAATAAATACATTGAGGGCCTCTGGCTAAGGGAATTTAGAAAGAAAGTTTAGAAAAAGGAGATAACATCTGTGTTCCCAGGATTACAGAGGCAAAATCACAGTTCTTTGTTTTTTTGTCTTTTTAATGAATGTTCAATCTTGATCTTTGAGAAAAGTCATGAAATATTCACATCTATGTATTTCAAACCTGCTTAGTCACATAAACTTCAATTTGTACTTTTTAAAGATGTCCTGGGACCCTCATTAAAGAGAAGAATATGAGAAATTCTCCTTCATATTTATCTTTGAAATCTGTCCTCTAATCTTTTAAATGCATTATTTAAAGGGTATGTGTTACTGTTATTAAATATATAGCTAAAAGAGATCTGAATGTGACTAAACTAAAAATAGGACAAACAAGCTTAAGACCCAGTCATTATATTTACTTGATGTGTGACAATGGCGGCTTATTTATCCTCTTTACATCTCAGTTTCCTCAAATGTGAAAGGTGAAATCATCAATTTCATAATTACTAAATAGATAAAATGAAATAATGTATGTATAGCACTGATCACAATACCTGACCTAGCAAACACCCAATAATTGGTTGTTATTTAAATGAAGAAATTACTCAACCCTGTACTAATCCACTTCCCAGAGACTCACAGAAATATAACTGAGTATATATGCACAGCTACTCTCTTATATGTCTTTTCCGTGTGAGGTATCTCTTTCTCCACTTTCTGTAGGTTGTACAGGTAGCCCTTATTAGATTTTTGTCAGGGACTGAAAACTAGCTTATGAGGCAGGCATCTTCCATACTCTAGGGAAGATTGGGAACAAGCTTTATCAGGTATGTCCTTATTAATCATCTTTGACAAAATAAACTGAATATTTTCAGTATTAATTATTCCTTCCATAAAAACATTTTTTCCATTGTAAAAAACTCAATTGAATAATGTACAAATCTTTCTCACAAAAGTTTAAATAGCACTCTTTATGTCCACTGTTGCAGTGGTGAAAATGACATCCACCTAACATAGCTCTTTAATTAATCCTAAATCTTAAACCACAACAACCTTGACTTTCCTACACATCAATGATCACAATTATAGTTAGAAACCATATTTTAAAAAATATCATTCAAGATTCTTTTTAATTAAACCAAATTTTTAGTATAAGCTAGCATAATGGATATTAAAGATTAAATATTTTAAAATGTGTATTTTTATAAAAATATGAACTTACAAACTTTTTTTATGTATTTCTCTAGGAAGAGAATAAGTCTTTAAAGGAACAGAAAAAACAGAATGACCTGTGTTTCCTAAAGATACTACTACAAAAGATAAAAACTTGTTGGAATAAAATTTTGAGGGGTGCTAAAGAACATTGAAAAATACGGAGTGGCAATATAAAAACTTAAGAGCTTTATTTGTATCCTCCAAGAATCTATCTGCTTATGCAATTTTCCAGGGTAAAATGCCTTCTGGAAGTTACTGAATGCATCCTGGTAAAAACGGATTATGGCAATTGAGAAATCCTTACTGTAGTGCTAGAAGATGGACATAAACAGTGGAAACCACTGCAACCAACAGTGGAAACGCTGCAATCAACAAACTATTTCACATGCATGAGGACATATATCAATCGGTATTAATTCTGAACTGATTTTTGTAAGATAATCTATGTAAGATATTAGTTGCAATAATACTTTTTAAACCTGTTTAAAATTTTCAGAAGACATATAAATTCTGTGAAATGTATAAAGTTTACAAGGATTAAAAATTAACATTTCATTATTACCAATTGTATGGCCTACTATGCATCAGCATACTGCAATGAGAGTGGAAATTGTCATCTGTGCTGGAAATGTTTCAGAGTTACAGTGAGATATGCATAAGGCCCATGAGAACAAGAGTCATACAGCTTAAAGAAGCAGTAGCATAAAGGAATCCAAGATAATTGAGAGATGTAATTAAACATGAATGTATAACACAGTGCCTTTAATAAATGATATAACAGATGTTTTAAAATGAAGATAAAGAATAATTTCACAAAATAGAAAGTCATCTGTTCTAAGAATGCTAAACCATAGTACTAAGTTACTTTTGTCATTTATGTGTAATAAAATTTGTCTAAATGAGTTTGCAATTTGGGAACTATATTTTTAAGAGAATAATATATGTTGGCCTTTTAATTAATGGAATGTACATATTTAATTTTGACACTCTATTTGTATATAAAAATATTTTCATACAGTATTACAATTGCTTACTTTGGATAACATTTCTCCTTTGATAATAAATGACCTATGTATTAACACTGTCAGATTCACTTAATGAATCCCAATAGGAGTTTTGTTTGTTTGTTTTTTGGCTGTACCATGCGGCTTGCAGGATCTTAGGTCCCCAAGTAGGGATCGAACCTGGGCCCCCTGCAGTGGAAGTGCAGAGTCCTAACCACTGGTCCGCCCAGGAATTCCCCCAACAGAATTTTTTAAGATCAAGATTTTTAATACTGCACCACTATTTGATTTCTCACTTTCACTGAAATATAACCTTTATTCTCTTATTATTGAGAATGTACATGAGACCTGGACCGCCAAACTATACAAGAACAGGAACACTGCTTTACCTCCCATGTTAAATTTTGGTCTTTTTAAAGAAACTTTTGTATATACCAGATGCAGCTTAGAAAGGTTTGCCAACAGTCTTCACTTACTTATAAAGGGAACTGAAAACACTATTCTAGGCAAGCCAAGAGTTCTAAAACAGCCACCACGGCCTCATCACCACCTGGTTAAGAGCTGACTGGCTTTATTTGATCTACTGACGATGCTCAGGTGCCATCCTCAATGTGTGGAGGTAAGACCTTCCTCTCAGTTCGTGTCTGTCTCTCTGCATCTCTTTCTCACTCTCCCCAACCTATATGGAGTTTCTTCCTCACTGGTGCAAGTAGCTGTATAGAATTGTACAGACTGTTGTATAGAATTCACTGATTACCCCATTAATGAGGTGTTGACTCAGCTATGTTTTCTATTTGGTTTTCATTATTAACTCCAGAAAAGGGAGTTTACTAACACTTTGTAGGAGCAAATGATTCTTCAGCAAGCTTTTTCTTCAGATGGACTTTTCAAAGTAGGCTATTCTTCCTTACACCACTAAACAGGTCAACTATGTGGTACATTTCCACCCTGATGAACTGGTGCTATTGGTAAACCATCAGCTATGAAATGGTAAAATTTTAAATTTCTAAAGGGAAACTTAAAACTGTTCTTTAAGATGTTTCCTTGAAGGCTGTTTATAACGTTCCCAACAGTGTTGAAAAAATTCTGTGATTGTGGCAAAATAAGGAACAATATTTTAAAGTGCTTTATTACAAATTATTAAAATTTTCTTCCATTTTATTTTAACCTTTGACCTTGATTTTTATCATTTGTTTATGATAGAATTGAATTTTACAGAAAATTTGCACTCAAAAATTTTTATTCAGCATGGTGTGTCAAATGCTTGGAAAAAAATACCCAGGCTTTTATGGTTATATTTCCCTTCTGTGTTTCCTAGCTACTAGCAAGGTAAGTAAAGACAAGGCAGGCTGGTTAATAATGATCTTGGATACTATATTTTTTTATTATTTCTATCCCCGTTAGACTTGTTTTATCTCAATGAACATTTTCTTTCAAATATGTACGTGGATGCTTTCAATCAGCATTTTCTAAAGTTTGTCTCAAGAAACTCTAAAACTTACTGATTATTAAAAATAATGATAATAATAATAATTAAAACCCCAGAGAATTCTGAGTTCTGAGGTCAGATAATTTTCTCTTGGAGACTCATAATTCATGTAAGTAATTTAAAACTCTGTAAACTCATAAAGCTTTTTTAAAAAAAGTTTAACATTAACATAGCATTTCCACAATTTGACTACAGAACACTTTTATGTAAAAACCATTAACCTATCACACTTTGAGGAATATTGCTTTATACAAAGAAACTCCATTAGAAGTCTTTTAAAATAAGCTTTAAAGGGATCTGCTGAAGGAAATACTCCTTTCAGGATTAAGATAGTTCTATTACAATTAGAAGCATTTCTTTTCTTTAAGCCATTCTTTCATTGACAGCCAGTTTAAGAAGGACATCTCATCAAATCTACTGTAAATATTTCTCCAGAAACACACATTTCTACTCTACGGTTTGTATAGTACCCTGTCAACGCAATCTTCATATCTTTAGTCATTATGTTCTTACTGCTTAGAAAGTGCTTCCAAATTCTATCAGATCCTGCTCAAATTTCTAGGGGCATCTTAATTCCTTTCTTCTCAATTGCTGTGACTTCCATGATAGTTGTAGATAAGGGATAAACTTGTTTTATTGTGCTTCGTTTTATTGCACTTCACAGATACTGTTTTTTTACAAATTGAAAACTCTTGGCAACCCTGTGTCAAACAAGTTTATCTGTACCATTTTTTGCAACAGCATTTGCTCACGTCTCTGGTTACATTTTGGTGAATCTCACAATATTTCAAACTTTTTTATTATTATTATATGTTATGGTAATCTGTGATTTTTGATGCTACTATTGCAAAAAGATTATAACTCAGGTTCAGGTGATGCTTAGCATTTTTTAACAATAAAGTATTTAATTAAGGTATGTACATTGCTTTTTTTTTAGACACAATGCTACTGCACACTTTTTAGACTACAGGATAGTGTAAACATAATTTTTACATGCACTGGGAAACCAAAAACGTTCACGTGACTCGCTTTATTGTGGTGGTCTGGAACTGAACACGCAGTATCTCAAAAGTCTGCCTCTAACGCTAATGTTTCCTCCTTTAGTTGCCCATAGAACTTAATTGCCTGCATTGCGCATTATTATTTGATCATGTTCCTCTTACTACTTTATCTTAAATACAATTATTATTAATTTTTCTATTCACAGTTGTTTAAAATGTTTTCTCTCCCCTGAAAGAATGTATGACCTTTTGTTTCCTTCAGCACCTAATGGATAAAGCCACACATATGGTAGTTAATAAAGATGAATTGTAAATTAATTAATAAAACCTATATAAATAATCCAGAAAATACATTTCTATAATATAGATTACTTAAAGATAGATAAGGCCCTAAAACATAACTAATTTAAATGAACATGACCCCTCAACGTCATCTTCTCACAATCTCAATAGAACTTTCTTTGATTTCTAAACGTTATTAGTTGTGAAACATCTTTCAGTCTTGATTCTGACCTAATAGGAAATCTTACCGAATAAGAGAAACAAACTAGGTAGATACATTGATAATTGCCAATTCCAACAGTTTTTAATGTCTACATATCAAAATATATGTATTCATCTAGATCCACAAAACTAGTATTTGAGAAAGATGCAAAAATGGTTATTCTCGTTTAGGAATAAACTGGGGTTTGTTTTTCTACCTCTCTATACAAAATGGTAAGAAAGAAGTACATTTTTCTGTATAAGAAATTTTCTAAGTGGGGGATTGGTTAGTGTTCTTTAAGATACTATCCTAAAGGTGAATTAATTTTCTATCACATTTAAAATGAAGAAAATGTAGACAAGTGGCAATATTCACAATTTAAGTTTAGCTACTCTTGCATGCTGATTTATTCCTTTTCTTTCAAGGCTCATTCTAAGGGTCCCATCCTTTTTGAAGTCTTTTCACACCTTCCCAGGTGGGGTTGACGACTCCTTTGTTTGTATCGCCACTGCTCAGCTCAGCAAATAACTCAATCACCAGATGCTACCATGTGGAAAGTGGACATGTGTTTGCCAATTTCCATCTTTGATGCTTATCACAAACTTTCTTATGTCTGAAATAATCTGGTTCTAACAGGAGCATTTTAGTTAAAAATTTAATTAAACAGAAGAAAATCTAATAAATTGTCCTGGCAGTGGTCCAAATACTATCACAAATAAAAGGAGCTTAGTTTGCAGGGCATCCAATATGGTGAGATAAAAGCCTTCTAGTAGTACCAGAAAGATCTGACAGAAAAGTACAAAACAACAGTTATTTACTGTCATCTCCTTGCCTCCTTCCCAACAGAAAGGAGGAAAGGGATTTGTCTTTTGCTGTGAAAAATCTTAAGTGTGTAGACCAATACATCTTTCTGCTTAGGAAAGAGTTTCACTCGGGAAATTACTAGGGTTGGGACTAATATATTCAGAGCCAGTGGGTTTAAAGAAGAAGCTCCAACTTTTAAATACTGACCGCTTAACAGGAAGATGCAACACAAATAGATAATTCATTCACTCAACAAATACTTATTAAGCATCCATCTCTAATGTGATGGTCCTAATCCTATTGGTACAATAAAGTCTGTGCTTTCATGAAGCATATATTCTAGGAGAGGAAACAGTAAACAATAAATAAACAAAATTACTACAGAAAACAAGTTCTAATGGAAAAGAAAAAAAAACAGACTGGTGGAAAGAGGTGGTATTTTAGGTTAGATAATCAAAGAAGACCCCCTTTTAAGAGAAGACTTTTGAAAATATTTTCTTAGTCTCAAAAATTTTAGCATTTAATACATGGCTGGCAATATTTACACATTTAATAAATTTCATTGAAGGATTCAAGTCATTTTGCAACAGAAATCAAAAGAGAATGCTTCAACTATAGTACATGATGCTGTCATAGAAATAAATTATGAAATTACCAAATGTTTGACTTTGAAGTAGTCTGCTACCCTAAAGTAGTGATACACAAGCTTTACTTTTTAGTTTGAAATAATTTCAGATGCATAGAAGAGTTACAAAAAGAGTACAGCATGTTCCCATATACCCTTTACCAAGTTTCCTCTAATGCTAATATCTTACAAAACCATAGTACATTTATCCAAACTAAAAAATTAGCATTCTTTGTTGTGGGTATGGTTATGCTGTACATTGTAGGATGTTTAGCAGCATCCCTGGTCTCTACTCACTCGACACCAATAGCATCCTTCTCCAAGTAGTGACAATCAAAAATATCTCCAGCCATTGCTGAACTGTCCCAGAGAGACAGTTGAAACTACTGTCCTAAAAGTTTTTAGAGACATATGTTTTACAGTTAGGTCTATGACTAATTTTGAGTTATTTTTTTTTATTGGAGTGTAGTTGCTTTACAATATTGTGTTAGTTTATACTGTACAGCAAAGTGAATCAGCTATATGTAGACATATATCCCCTCTTTTGGATTTCCTTATCATTTAAGTCACCGCAGAGCACGTTGTAGAGTTCCCTGTGCTATATAGTAGGTTCTCATTAGTTATCTATTTTATACATAGTATCTATAGTATATATATGCCAATCCCAATCTCCCAGTTCATCCCACACCCCTTTCCCCCTTGGTATCCATACATTTGTTCTCTACATCTGTGTCTCTATTTCTGCTTTGTAAATAAAATCATCTATACCAAACTTTTCAGATTCCACATATATGCATTAATATACGATATTTGTTTTTCTCTTTCTGACTTACTTCACTCTGTATGAATATAAGGTGTGCATTAAGTTTCATTTTTTTGCATATGGACAATCATTTGTCATGTGTTGAAAAGACTATACTTTATCAACTGAATTACTTTTGTGCTTTTGTAAATTTCAGCTGACTGTTTTTGTGTGGATTGAGTTATGGATGCTCTATTCTGTTCCAATGACCTAAATGTCTATCTTTTCTACAAAATCACACTGACTTGATTACTATGGCCTTATAATATCTAGAAATTGGGTTGAATGAGTCGTCCAAGTTTTACTTTTTCAGAATTGTTTTGGCTATTCTAGTTATTTTGCCTCTCCATATACATTTTAGGATCAGGCCGTCAAACCACAAACTCCATCCCCCTAAAAAAACCCAAAAACTTGCTGGAATTTTGATTGAGATTGCATTGATTCAACTGGGGAGAACTGACATCTATGCTATGTTTATTCTTTGAATTAATAAACACAGTATATATATCCTTAAATTTTGTGTTCTTTCATCAGTGCTTTATAGTTTTCAGCATACACATATATTGTCACATTTATGCATAACTATTTGTGTGTGTATATGCCTGCATGCTATTGTATTTAAAATTCAAATCCCTATTGTTTATTGCTGCCATATAGGATTAACTGAGTTTTGTATATTGTCCTTGGATCCTATGATCTTGCTAGAACTAAACTTATATAAGTTCTAGGTTTTTTGGTAGATTCCTTGAGATTTTCTACATAGAAAATCATGTCATCTGTAAATAGAAGTCATGTGTTCCATGAATGTAGAAACTTCTAAAATCACTTTTTAAAATCTTAATTTACCTTCAACATAACCCCAACCAGCCAAGATTTTGTCAAGCTTTACTTTTTGAGGTATTATGAAAGTAAGAGATACAATGAATTTGCTTTTTTAAACTATAC